AAAAATAAAAATAAATAAATAAATAAATAAATAAATAAAAATTAAAAACTACGGCCAGGGGCAGTGGCTCACGCCTGCAATCCCAGCACTTTGGTAGGCTGAGGTGGGCAGATCACGAGGTCAGGAGTTTGAGACCAGCCTGGCCAATATGGTGAAACTCTGTCTCTACTAAAAATACAAAAATTAGCCCGGCGTGGTGGGACTCGCCTGTAGTCCCAGGTACTCAGGGAGCTGAGGCAGGAGAATTGCTTGAACCTGGGAGGCAGAGGTTGCAGTGAGCCGAGATGGTGCCATTGTACTCCAGCCTGGGTGACAGAGTGAGACTCCGTCTCAAAAAATAAATAAATAAATAAAGTAAACAAAAAGTAAAATTTCTTCAAAAAGCAATATTACACTACTTTTCTTTTAGCTGAGGGATGAGAACTCCCTCGTTAAGTAGAATTGTTTGAAAATTCCTGGAGATGGTGACAATGTACTCTGTTATAAAACATCGTTCGTTGAAAAGTAGCTTTGCATTTGTACAAGGTTTATGAATCTCTTACTGTGTGAGTACATGGCTAGAATTGAAGGAAGGTGGAGATAAGGATGATAGCCTTTGGTCTCAAGAGGCTAGAAGACAGATAGCAGGGACCTTATCCAGTTAATGTAACGAGGATCATGCAAGGGCAGAGCCGGGGGGATGGGTGGTCGCTCTGCTCACATTCCAGGCTTCAGGAACCATGTGAGCAAAGAGGTCAAGGTATGAAAGAAGCAGGCCCCTGGCAAGAGGGAGAGAAAAAAAGGTAAGATGGGATCTGATCCTGGGAGGACCTTGAACGTCTCCCTGGAGTGAGTCCATAGTATTTTCAGAAAGTATCAAGGCTCCTTGCATTTTTCTGCTTATTACCCCAGGTGCTGCCAGTGCACTCCTCTGCAACTGCCTACCTAAACACACGAGTGGTCTTGATTCTGGTGTGTTATGAGTGTAGGTTCCCATGAAGCAAACAGACAAAAGTGTGTAGCACTGAATATTAGACAATAAAAAATAGTTAAATGTGTTTGCCAGATTCTCAGTCCTTCTCAGTAAGTAAAGCACTTTGTTCCTTCCTTTCCTGGTTTGAAGGTGGTTATCAGGCTAACCATAAGCAGATGTATAGGTGGACGTTTTTTACTGGCCTGCACAATAAATCTGAATGCTAGTGTTTCCAGCACGGGGGAGGGCAGTTCCCTCTTGCCCAGTGAATCATTACCTCAGATACGGTAGTTACAAATGGCCTCATCATATTTTTAATTTGCAAGAAAATTATACTCAAGAGAAAAGTAAATGCAGAAGCTGAAGAGGAAAGCCTTATCCAGAGGCTGTTTCCATTCAGCAAGGGAAGACTGTGTGGAAGATAAACTGAGCTGTTCCCAGGGCTCTCAGCCTTCCCCAGCACTGTGGAAAGCATTTTCATTCCTGAGTGCCACAGGCTTCATTTATATCTCCCAAACGTGATTGCCACGTCGGCCTGCATCTCTAGGGGGAAGAAAATGACTGTTGCTTTTATACTTATATTCAAAATTAGCATAATATGCTTAGCCAGCCTGAATGCCAACCAAGGAATGAAGTAGGGGCAGTGCTTCAGTGGGATCTGGGACTTGGAGGACAAGGTCTTGAGACCCTTCGTTGGCCTTGAGGAACCTGCGAGCCTGAGCTGGAGCTGGGCTGCCACTGACCCTGGCAGTGTCTTTGTGCTTGACTTGGTATTAGATTTGGCACTCCCATAACCTTGGTTTATACACCTGGCTCCTGTTCTCTTTCCTTGCCTTTGCAAATGAATAAAAACTCTGGGTGAGGGTGCAGTGGAGAGAAGATGCAGAACTGAACCCACATGAATGAGCTGAATCCTACTCTGGATGTGGAACTGGACTACGCTTTCTACCATTATCCAAAGAAAGGGGTTTAGTGAAGCACAGGCACCAAAGGAGCCAGGCCACATCTGGAGGAAGGTTTTCTGACTAGATTTAGTCTGATAAAGGCTGGGTGTGTTGGTTTGGTTCCCCCTGAAGCAGACCCTAAGCCGATGACTCCAGGGCAAGTCATTTGTTTGGAAGCCTCAGGGAACACAGATTCCTGGTCTTACCCATATCTTCTGACTCATGTGCTCTAGCAGAGGAGCCCAGGAGTCAGTGTTTTTCTTTAACACACACTGTGAGGTGCATCTTTATGTCTGGTGAGCTTGGGAGCTTGTGCCCTGGTTGGTAACAAGCCTGCGTGTCCCCTCCCCAAGAAAGGGAGCCTGGGATCATTTAAAATGCCCCGTGTGACCCCAGAGGCAGCTATATCTGAACTGCCCCCCAGTCCCCGTGTTTTGGGTACCTCATTTAAAAGTGATTCCTATCACAAATGTTGTTCCCTCAGATCTGCCAGCTGAGGCAATAGTTTCTAAACCTTTAGATTTCCCGGACCAGAATATTTCAAAAAAGTGATCTAGAAAATGACATAGAGCCACATAATTTTATTTGGTCACAAAAGGACATTTAAAATCAAACATTGAGATGTTTGGAATAAAAATGGTGGGAATCCGTTGATCGCTTTAAGCACAGGAATAGCACCATCAGATTTTCATTTTAGAAAAGGGCACTTGGGAAGATGCTGCCATTGGTTGTGGAGTTCTCAGATCTGATTCTCTATTTTATGAAGATCACATGGTTAGTGTGTTAAGCATTTATAACTTCCCCTCTAATTCTCCTTTTCATAACCGATTAGCATACAGATTAAGAACCTTTTGGGAAATCCAAATGTAAATGCAAATGTGAATTTCAGAACTCAAAGTAACTTAAACCACTGTTTCTTGAATTCACACTCAAGTTTTATATTCCTTTCTCGTACTTATCCTTCTATCACCCGATTTCCTCCTTGTGGGATATGAGCGTTCTTGGTTATGGTTGATCACTCATAACTTTTTCTGTCTGTTTTCTTGATGCATGCTGCCTCTGCCAAAATTCCTCACCTGCGTTGACTTCTACAGCCAGAAACTCTAATCTTAGGTCTAAAGGTAAAGTCCTTGTCTGCTATTTCAAGTTGCTCTTTAAAAGCCTTTCTGTTCTTCACCGTCATCCTCACTGTGAAAATGTTTAAATGATCCATTTCATTTATGTTTTTACCATCACTTTTAACCTTCTCTTTTAAGCAAGATATCTCTGTAATATTTAGATGTTGATCTTCAACATAATCAACAAAGCACTGGAAGATCTTGGTGTATCAAAAAACAGTGTAAATAGTGACAGGCCTTCATCTAGTCAGCCTAGATGTGAACTCTTGAAATACCCTGTCTTGTTCCTGATACTGCCTGATGTTTAGTCAGTAACACTGGAAAGGCTGTGTATCAAATGTACAATTTGTATTTAAAGCTAAAATTAGTGCAAATTGTATTTAAAGCTAAAACATTTCAATATATCTTGTCTCCTGGGTTTGGGTTCAGTGTCTCCTGGAATTCAGAAAGAATTTACATTTCTTTAAAAGAGTAAACAATTTAGAGTATTTGCTGAGAAATGATGGAAAAATACGTAAGTAAGAGTTTGGAAGGTCTGGGCTGGTTTCTTAACTGGCAAGTGATGTTGGTCCTCGAGGAAGGGTTAAGTCAGCTAATAATGCCTCTTTGTGGACACAGGATGGGGGTTAACTTAAGCGTGAGCACGTACTTGATGAACGCAGCAAAATCCAGCCACTTTCTTTTTTTTTTTTAAGTAATTTAATCTTAATATGGAAGTAGGTAATATTCAAGCGCCAGATGCACCAGATTTACTAGTCTTGAGCATTTGCTCATAGCGTTAACTACCGCTTGTTGAATATCTACTGTGTGCTGGGCACTTGGCTAGTTGTTTTCACATGCAGTCGTTCAGTTATTTGTCCCTCACAATATGTTTATGAGGTTAATGCTAATGTGATACCATCCAGTTTAGGGACCTGGAAGCCCCCGCTGGGATGTAAAGCAGGTCGCTCCTCCAAGACATCACATTTGCTCCCAGGAGCAAGACGTTGTGTTTTATTTTCCTTTGCTCAGCTTGGCTTAAGAATTCGCAGCTGTCTAGATTGTCCATTTAGTTGCAAACTGCCAACTTGCAATTTTCTGCCATTCTTTAGAAATGTAAGCAGCTACATGCATGAATTGGAATGATACCAAGTTTCATCATCTAGTTGCATTAATTTTCGTTTATCCCAGAATAAAGTCAGCAGTGATTATGAAAAGAGGTTTAGGTCACATGATTGTATCTGGAAATTGTGCTGTTCCTAGGAACTCAGGAACTGTCTGAGACACAGACTGCCAAGGTCGGTCCTTCACCGTGGATCTGACTCCTGGGCATGGCATGAGAAGCACCTTACATGTCTACTCAGTACCTGGTCCTTTGTCACATTATTTCTAATCATGCATTATCTCTAATTTTCACAATGACTTGACAAGGTACGTATTATTATTTCCAGTGTGTTAGTGGAGAAACTCACTGACTGGCCTGTGTTTAATGTGCCTGACTCAGAGTCTGAGCCTTTTTTCTAAATTAAGATACATTCCAGATTCTTGTGTAACTGTTTGCCGGCCAATCTAAAGTGCTTTGAGTCTTTCACTTCTATTTGTGCAGTTTTCCTGGTGTAAAGCACCTTATATGTAGATTATTTGTTATGCAAGTACTCCTGCCAAGATTTATTGATCCATTTAAAAACAAACAAAATACCTTTGGGGTTAAAATTAAACCGTTTGCAGCTCAAACTAGCATTTAGTTATCTTCCTAGGGGTTGAAGGACATCTTCCAGTAACCACTTGGCCCTATATTCGATAACTCAATTTTCTGCTTCCTCTGTTTCAAAAAGGAGCTTCAAAATGGAATATATATATATATATA